TTTAGCTTACTTAAATATATTAAATTTAGTTATCAACCTATATTTGGTACCATTTTTCACCATTTTATTAAAATTCAAAGCCGCACCCTCTCAAACTGATATCCATTAAGCAGCCAACCCTTTTAGCCTTACCATTTTAAGCCAACCAATTTCTTGACATTTTATACAGGCTCTCGTTGCTTGTTTAGGATGTCAAACAATTACCATTTTTGCTTGAAAAAGAAAGCCACAGAATTGGAAATCCCGTCATTACCAGACGCACCTTAAATTTCAGGCTTTAAGTTAACCTTTCCCTCAAAGAGATGTAAACTTCACATCAGTAATCATCTGCCTAACCAACTTACATCTTTATTTGGCTTTCAGCAAGGGTCACGTCCAAGTCCCAGTGAACTCTAAACTTTAAGTTTATGGAACCTCCTTTAATTTGGGCAACTGGTCAGTCACTTATTTATATGTCTGGCGCTTGTCCATTTAACTGCTCGGCTTACACCTGTCTTCTGGCCCTCGTTTTATGGCTGCAAATAAAAATTTCATGGCTACAACTCAATTTGGTGCTAAGCAATGGGAAAGTGTGAAGCGTTTAATGTTAGGCAGCGACTTTGATGTAATCAGGCAGCTGAACCGAAGCAGAAGATACTAGTAATTCAGCGCTGAACTGCCTTGAATTATGCCAAAAAGGGGAAGTTGGCCACCATAATTTGCCATATAATTTTCCTTATTTAAATTCAACCCACTCGTTTTCATAGTTAAATCACTATTGCACTAAGGAAATAGTTCTATTCGACTTGAAGTCAAGTAAAAGGGTACTTTTGGTATAGTTGTGATAAGTTTAGAGCTTATACATTGTGAAACTATATGAGCATTCTGAATATCCAATTTATATATAAAAAATTTTACAAATATTATAAATTAAAGGTTTAAAAACCCCTCTCTCAGTGTATTCCGAGAACTTAAGCCCATGATTGCTGCAGTCGCGTCTGGGAGCAAGGCCAAGTTGATGGCGCCCAGTGTTCGTCGCTCGTTGTGTGTTTTCTTCCTTTCGTTTTTTGGCCAAAAGTATTAAAAAGTTTTATTCTCCGTTCTTTTATTCCTGCCTTGATCTGGGAGGCGTGGGCCAGACTCCCGGGCCAGGCTCATTGCAATGCAGCTTTCCCCCCATTCATTCGTTAGTTCCATTTCCAATTTTCCATTTTCCCAAAGCCCGGCACTGTTGCTTAACTGGCGCGAAAATGGTGGATTTCAGTTGTATTAATTTTTAAATAGTCTTGTGGCAGTGCAATCGCATATCGGACATGGCCATAGATCCGGAATGCCATGAGTGCTGCCGGCATGTGCCGTGCCCCATATTTCCATGCGCCATATGGCAGCTGCTCGCCTTTTGCTGCCGGCTCTTGCCCCCTTTTTTGGACTGAAACTGGCAGAAATCAAAAGCTTTTTGCAAGTGCACCTCCCTTCCGGCGAAAAACAATAGCCATCTGGCATTGGGATAGTGGAAAATATAGCCGAATAAAAGGGCAATCTGATCCCTCTTAAATAAAAGTTATAAGGCAAACATTAAGTTTATGAAACGAGCAAAGAGCCACAGAGAGAAAGAAAGTAAGTGTATCATATTTTTAGTCGAGAAAGAAATTAAAATATAATTTAAATTGAAATATTAATTTCAATTCTTTATAAATTGTATTGTAATAAAGTTCTTATAACACTTTACTATGTCCTTTTAAATGCTATTTTTTGTTAACCATCCTGAAAGTTTCCCCACCGATCCCTTGGCATTAGCATAAATCATTCATCAGATCGGCCGTACTTCATGGCGCTAAGCCTCATCACACAATTTATGATTCCCGTTGGGCAGACAAAACGGCCCACACGCTAAGCCGACAACTTGTTGGACCCTTAGGCCACATTCTCGTTCCCACTTCTGCCTCCCCCCTTTGATTTGTGGCCAAAAGCTGGCATTATTAGGGCCTCAAGGTGGGGTAAGGACCTTGGGGCTGCTGGTGTTGCCGGCGATTTGGTGGCCCATTTGTATGCAAGCTCACGAAGCGCGAGAACGAAAAACTTATAGCACAACCGTGTTGTAAGTTTAGTTTAATAGTTGCTCGAGCTGTGCTGAGTTTTGCCAACTCCAGTCGCGTCGCGTTTAATGCAAATTAAAACGTTGCCGGCGCCAAAAACTTGTCCGTGCTCCATCATTTTTGGCGCGTCAAAGATTAAATTGAGCCAGCAGACGGGATGAGGATCCTAGTATGAGAACCTCCAGCAAAGGGTATATGTATATGACGCATTAAGTCACTGGCGAACAAATTTAGCAGGTTACCCTTAACGGACTGAGAGGGTCCTGGCAATTTTGTCACCCGATTTTCGGCACTTTGTAGTCCCCTCAAAACAAAAGGCGTCGAGAGGCAGTTGAGTTGGCTTAAAGGGTCGACACCATAAACCTGATGGCCTTTGTCTGGGGAATAAGCCATTAAAGCCGGCTTAATTAGTCGCACTAAAGCGGTTAAAAGAGATGGTATTATACTATAACTATACGCATTTATTTAATAATAATTTGAGCTGACTTTAAGTGGCATTCATTCAAAAGCGTTATTAATCTGAATTTATAATCTCACCCACAAGTATTACTTAACTTTGGTTAATACAATTTCTCATATTGTAATCCTCTAATTAGTTTTCAATTTAAATAATGACATAATGTATTTACAATAATATTTTAATAGACTGTGAGTATTTTGTGGCTAATTAAATTTAAATCAATTTTATTTTGTTTGCCTCTTATTTGCTATACTATTTTTTTTTCAATTTCCACATATGCACACATCTTGTTTGTTGTATGTTTACATTTTTTCATTTAGCCTCAATCAACTTTTGATTTAAATGCAATAAAACGCTGCGCAAATTCAATTTCCTATTCAATTTCCTCTCTCTCTCTCTCACCCTTTTAAATACAATCACATGCAATTCCGCTCATCAATTGAAAAAGTTGTGGGGAAAAAATGTTCTCGCTTCAAGCGTTTTTAATTTTATTTCAATGTGTAAACATTTGAAAAAAATATATATATTTAATGGAAATTTATGAGTTTTGGTTTAGTTCTGTTAAAAATCAAATTCGATTGAATTATAAAATAGAAAACTACTTCCGGAGTTAAGCTTCCTTTTTGGTTTTAAATAATCCTAAAATACAGACCCAATTATGAATCTTAAAATCTTGGACTTGCATCCTTTTGCTTTTTTTGCACCCCTTGTCTTTGTCAATATCTACTTGGAATTTCATCTTTGTGGTTATTTTTCCAAAGGGTTATTTGCATTAACCGTCTTTAGCTTTAGCTTTGAATTTGGCTTTGGCTTTGGCTTTGGCTTTGGCTCGACACGGTGGTTTTGTGTGGAAATGCCTTGGCTTTTGTGGCTGCCTGCGGTTTGTCTTCTCACTTTGGCAGCTTCTGTTTCTGTTGTTGTTGCTGTTGCTGTTGCTGCTACTGAGTCTACTGTTCGTGAGCAATTTAATTGAATTATTTGTACTGGCTTGGCTTTCGTCCTGGCATCCGACCCTTCTTCATCTGTGACAGCTGCTCTAATTAGTTGGGCAAAGGCATCGCCATTGCCATCTCCATCTCCATCTCCATCGACAGCGGCACTGACACCGGCAAAGGCGTTTAATTAGCTCGCCTTGACTGGGAAATTGAGGTGAACCGCGGTAGGGTTAAGCAGCTTAGCTAGTCGTCATCCCAAAAAGGATCTACCTAGAGCCATCTATTACGACCGAATTGAATTGCTAACAAGCTAAGCGACGGCGACGACAACAAATGTCATTCATCCGAAATCAGAGCATTTAAATTAATTTCACGTGCCGCCCTCGCCTATATTTTTTGTAGCAGAGCTGTGCCTGTACAATTTAATGATTCAGCGAATCCTGTCGGCATTGTCTAGTCCAGTCCTCCGTATCCTTATCCTTAGCTATTCATCCTGCGTGCCGCCTAAGCTGTCTTGCTGCTATCCCAGAGGAATGTTTCTATTAGAGATGATCTCGACTGTGACTGGAATTCGCGAGGGAAGTAATTGAAAAGGTATTCAACTTTATACTGAAAATAATAGCAGTTAGATATTATTTGTTTAAAATCCAATTACCACATTATTCAATAATTATTCTGTTATTCAAAACCTTTTCATATTCACACTTATATATATATATTCAAAGACTTCAAGCAGTCACGTGGTAAATCACGGCCAGTCACTTGGCCATCACTGTCTGAGCTGAATTCGTTTTTTTTCTAGAATATTTCTTAGCAGCTTGTTATTGAGTTGGCTTGTTAGGCAGCGGCAGCGGCAGCTGTCATTTATCCGAAAAAATCTGCCATAAACACGTCGCACACGTATGCGCCATTTTAAAAATGGCGTCAGCTTCACTTCCGCTAAATGCTGTCGTTGATTCTGTCTGCGTGTGTTTTCTTCTTGTTTCCTTCTCTATTTTCCTGCTGCATTTGAATTCAATTGGATGAGATGCTTATGAAGTCGTTAAGGCCCCCCGCCATACCACACAGCTCCTCCTCTTCGAGATCCTGGTATCTGGTCCTGTGAATCCTGACTGCCGGCAATATTGTCACATCGTCGAAAATAATTGCCGGAAATACAAAAGGAAGGCGGCGCCCTGAAACGAAACCAAATGGAATCGAGGAAGAGAATGAGAGCAATCGGAATGGGAATAGATTTCCAATTTTCTCAGCACCCTGGCACTCGGGGAGGAAGCACCGCAGGGCGTCCTTGTCATTGCGGCTTACGTGGCGTATACTCAACTATAATTAATTACGCCCTTTTGTGACCGCATGGGTGTGGGTAGAATGGGGTTTCGCTGGGATTTCTCCCAATGTTTGGATGCCGGATGCTTCCTCCTTGAGTGGCTTCTTTTCAATTTCAATTGTTGGGTCATTGACAGTCCGCCGGATGCCGGGTCGCATATAAAAGCAAGCCGGTCGGGCAGACACAGCCACATTCGTAGACGGTAGCCGGTGCAAGAAAGGAGTACTCGGGATTCCAGTTGTTGGACTCTATTGGTAGAATGGCCCCACTGCATCTGCTGCTCCACTGTGCCACCACTCTGCTGATTGCCAACGCTTTGCTCACTCCCCAGTGCAAGGCTCCGACAGCGATGGCAAATCCAAGGGTGGATTTCCATTTGCCTTGGATGAGGACGTAGACGGTGTGGAGTTGCCGCTGGATGTGGACCAGGACATGACCGGTGATCAGGCATCGGCCAGGATCAGCACTCGATGCCGCCCGCTTGGCTGACCTTTGACCCTGAGCCCGCTCCACCCACCAAGCATCGGAGCAGCCACAAGCCGCAGACCATTATCAAGCACCCGACCAGCAGTGGATTCCACAAGCTCTCGGCCCACGGACACCGATCCTGCCACGTCGAGGTCGTCAAGGAGGTGCAGGGTATCTGCCAGTCGATGCCCATTGGCAGTGCCTGCGTCACCGACGACTACATGGCCGTCTACACCGATGCCAACTGCTCTGCTCAATAAAAAGGCTTATTCTCATTCCGCACTGTTTGATTGATTGATTGTTTGAATGTCCCCGTGAATGTGTGTGTGTGCGCGAGTCTATATATTTTGAGGGATAACGAGTAACACGACTACCTGATGCACGATGCTGAAATGCAGAACTTGTCTAAATAAATCAGTTTAATATTATTTTACATTATCTAGAATATCTTTATTATGAGATCGTTCTTAGTTGAAGTTTAGAGAATATTGAGGAGAATTATATTTTGAAATTATTAAAAAATTTGTTTTAAAAGATCTCCTACTTAATCATCAATTTAATCAAGATTCTTTATCTATTTCTACAACCAACACAAAAGCTCTGACTAGAAACACTTAATTTAATTTCCAATTACAAATTGAAGGAAATAAATATTTTTACCCCTGAAAACTGGTTCAGTTTTTCTAGATATTGATCTTAATTTTTTAAACTGGCTTCTTCAACTAGTTTTAATATTAAATTGTCGCTAAAAATGTTACTATTATCAATAAATTGTTCTATATTTTCATTCATACCCTTGCAGGGTATTATAATTTTAATCAGAAGCTTAAAAGGCAAACTGCAAGGGTATATTAACTTCGGCTGTCCAAAGATAGTTTCATTTTTTTATCATATTATTAATACGACTTTATCATTATTTTAGCCAAGTAATTTCTACGGTCTCCTCTCATCATATTTTATAAATTTCTTAGTATTATCCCTATATATTCATTATATATTATTAATTTATATTACACTATCTCAACTTTGGCCATATTGTTGGCTTTGCAGGCTTCACGCCTGGAATTGTGGTTGAGTTTCCACTTGCCACGCACTGTGCTCCAAACAATTCCATCAGCTGGGGAGCCCGAAAGAAGGCGGATCTCTTCCAGGCGGATGGACCCACTCGATCCATGTGATCGTAGATGAGCCCGGTAACATCCAGAGCTCGAAATTGCTCAAGAAGATGACATCCTGGAGATCGTTGCCCCACAAGAAGAGCACTTGTTGCAGGTCCAATCCCAGTTCTACCAATTTATGTTTGTTTTGAAAGTTCTCCACATGCAGGGCTGTACCGAGGATCTCGGTAGACTGGGCAAAATTCACGGCCTGCTGGTAGCTCTGTGTCCTTAGATCCATATATGGATCCCAGATATTTGATTTGCCTGTGCTCATCAGGATCACGGGAAAGACGTGCTGCTTGAGCCGAAGCATAGTGCATATATCCGCATCGAAGCTGGCAAAGATTAGGGGACGTCCACATCCATAATGAATCGTTGTCTGTATAATCTTGTCCACATAGTTGTTTTTATTCAGACTCTGAGTGGACTCTAGCACTCCCGAGGCCATTAGCTGTGGCCACTTGATCTCCACTAGGAGTCCCAGGTTTTCGGCAGATCCTCATAGACCTCTGAGAGTTTTGGGAATATCCTTTGGGCCTGACTCCGATCCCTTACATTGAGGTGAGTGTACTCCTTGACGGTCCAGCGTTTCAGTATGAATACTCGACTCGCCTTGAGTTCTGAGTAGGTGAGTTCCCTTATAAGCACAAATCGCAGATCAAAGCGATCTCTTATAACTCGATCCCTCTCTGAGGTGTAGAATCCAAAACCATGCCACACAATTGGCACATAATCCTTGGTCAGCTGCACATCCAGCTGAACCATGTCGCCCTTGGCCTGCTCCACTGCCAGGAAACTTTCGATTGTGTTCTCCGTGAGACTGGTTGATGATTGGAAGTAACTAGCTCCTAGTCCCCGATAGCCAATGTCCAGTGTGGGCCAATTATCCGGCCAGTAGTGATGGAAACTCGTTCGTAGATTTCCTGCCTCCACTTTGGGCATGGGTTGGATCACCAAATAGGGCAGGGTAACTTCCCCTATGGCCACGTTCTGTAGGCTTGCAAAGATGGGGAGTTGGAGAATGCCACGACTGCCCTTAATCTGCTCGGGAAATATGTAGGCCTCACCCACGGACAACTTGACATCCCTGGTCCCTTGATATATATTCAGGCGAAAGGCATTGTAGGTGTCCAACGATTGGTATATGCGAAAGATCACAATGGAACCGGGAATGTATCTCACTCCCGGTTGGCTTTGAACTCGAAATGATGAGTGATTGTAGGCGTATCTGGAGACCTCTATGCGGGTGTCGTCCATCACATTGAGAGGCGTCAAAGTCAGTCGATACTTGGCACTAGATGAATGCCAGATATCACAAATGATCCTGCCACACGAACTTCAGCTCGATGACGTACTCGTGCTGGAGCCAACCGCGTTCCAGGTGAAAGCCACCACCAACCGACGTGGGATAGGCCTCGCCGTAAATGTCCACACCAGGAGAGCGATACATCTCGTAGGTCTGCAGCATCCGGGCCACCTTCTGACCCTCCCAGCTCCTTAAAATACGTTTCCCTGGGCATTTTTAGAGTAGACCAAGTACCGGTAATAGAATCTCTGACTGGCGCATATCCACAACCGCAGGTACCACTTGGACCGAGCCTTATCCTGCTCCTTGAGTGGAATGGCCTTGTCCAACTGCCAGGAACCCAGAGCGGGATGATCACCGCTCACAGCCAGATACTCATCGGCGGCCAAGTGGATATTGTGACCCAACTCCAGGCTAAAGACCCGAAACAATGGAACACAGATGAAGCTGCGACCCGAGATCTGGCCAGCGGGCTGCTGCTCATCGTCAAGATCTTGAAGGCCTGCAGCTTCTCCGGCCCAAACACAAACGTCTCATTCACGAAGGTCCCGCCGCACAATAGCAGAAGCTGCAGCTGAACATAGACTATGCTAATTGATTTTAACACATTCAACCGCTCGCGAGACCGATACATTTTTCCTCATTCCACAAAGCCAACACCACCATCTTCGCGCCACCGAAACAAGTTTTCTCTTTCGGCCAAAAAAATATATAAATCGAACCAGATGCCAAGAGATCCAAGAAAGCGAAAACGAAAATGAAAACGATGAGCAAACGCGACGCGGATCGTATCGGATCGAATCCGGAGGCAACTTGACCCGACGATGACAAACAACCGAATGAAAGAATTTCTTAAAGCTCACCTCCGTTTTGTTTTCGTCGAAATTGGAGTCCGGAATCGGATGCCGCAGCTGATGAGATGCATCGCAGATCGAAGATACCCTCCCTCTTGACTTATTGGCCAGCAGCTTGCTAATTGAGTTGATATTCCCGCTTGGGTTCTAGCGATGACAGCGTGATCGGGCTTAAGGTTTGGGAGTTAATTAAAACATGATCGAGATATTATCGTTTTATCATAAAAACGAGGAATTTTAATTGGGTGACTACCTTTCACTGCATAAATTATCTCATTCCCGCTGCTTAAGCACCCATCTCTGGGTTTATTTAAATTACTCATAATTTTGAGATGACATCGGTTTCTTTTATTACTCTTAGAGCATTTCAGGGTCGGTCTTTGAGGCTTCGCATATTTTTACCAAATTTGGCATATGTAAATTTTCGTGGTAAAGAAAGTTTGGAGAGCGATGGGTGAGAGAGAAGAAAGAGTGGCTCAGATATTGGATTCTGTGCCAAGGGCTTGACATAATGCGGATTGTACTGGAGATAATTGTAGCTGGACAAGTGCCAGGTCTGCAAGGGACCATGTTTCTCATTCTTGCAGTTTTCAGACTTTTTGATAATTACAAACTGATCTCTTGAGAGATGAACACTCTGCAGGTAGGCATCAATCTCATGGAGCGTATTCTCTGAGGGCTCATTATCCCGGTATATATGGCCATCTGGGGACGCATCCAGGGCAAACTGCAATGGAGTTCCACAGCGTAGTTAGTGTAGTCTGTCTGGGTGATCCTGGTCCAATAGGGATCCACTAGAAAGAAGAGTTAAGTATTAAAGAAATTTCAAGAAAGTAATGCCCATCTTTTACTTACAATTTTCAAAGTAACACATGGGATCTTCTCCGGATATGTCCCATAAACATACCAGCCGCCTTTCATCTGAAAATAAAATCAAATCCTGTCGTCTCTGTGGGATATTTAACTCTCACCTTCTCCGGGTCCAAGTTGAATTCCTCGTAAAGGCATTTCCAGGCAAGGGATGTGGACAGCAGCAGCAACACCATGAAACCAGGAGACATTCGCACTTGGCCATTTCCCAGTTAAGATGCAAATGAGTTGCTCTCTAATTGACCATAAAGCGAACGGGCTTTAGGCCTGACTTACAGCCAAACCTTTTTTATGGCCCACTCTCCGCTTTTTTTTTTTTTTGTTTATGGGTCGTCGTGTTTTGTGTGTTTGTGGGCTCAGAGCATTTTCATGGCTGCTTTTTTACATTCGTCACGGGGCCATCAAATGTAAGCGGATCGAATTTTACATACACTTTGGACATGGCACCCAGAGAATTTCTTTTTCTTTCTTTTTTCTCAGACTAAAACACGTCATTCGATTGGTTTTGCTGTTGTTGAAAATATTATGAAAATATTTTGTGTGACTTTATTTTTATACGATGTTTTTTCAATCACTTTTGCTTTTGCTTTTGTGTGCTTATCGTTGTTATTATTGATTGATTTTAAATATGGATAAAAATATCAAATGGCTGGTTAGTTTTCGATAGATATTTATAGTTTTGATCCATAATGAAAAAGACATTTAAACACACGATTCAAATCAAGTTTACAACATTTATATATATAAAATATTTATCTAATTTGTATAAAACTAGTTGCTCTTGCACAAATCGCAAGAGAGTGTGTTACATAGTTCACATAAAATCATTTTAAATGTGTATTTCCCCGTGGTGTGTGTTGATTAGTTTTCGTGTAGTTAAGATTGTATTAGCTTATTAGTATTTTTTGCTTATTTTTTCTTGAGGTATAGATAGATTATTAGCAGGTAATGTAGGTGTATGTGTTTTTGTAATTTTCAGCTCATCGCTTTCTTCACATTGTCTTTTTTCTGGTGCTACTTAATTTTTGTGGGGGATTTTTTTGCATTTCTAATTATGCCAATGATGGCTGCTTTATTTATGGGTTTCTGTTTCGGTTTCCGTTTGAAATTAGAAATTGTTCAACAAAATCACTTTAAAGCTTCTCACACGTTTCTCTTTCTTCCCAGTTGTGGGGTTTAAATAAATATACAAACTAACTTTACAAGCTTAACGATTATAATTATGGCTTAGATTTACCCGCCCGTTTCACATATATCTTTTTTTGTTTTGCATTTTAAATCCGGCATTGGGCTGCAAACTCAGCCATCAGGGCTGGTGATTTGAAGAAGGCATCCTGCTTTGCCGGTGGCATGTAGAGATCGCTGCGATCGTAGCACGTGGCTGTGGCCCCGATTCGGGTGAAATACTGCACTCGTCCTTGGAATTACAGTCGTCACCCCAGATCACAGCAATCTGTCCAAGATCCTTGGCTTTTGCAGCATCTCCGGCGCGTTGTCGCCGAGGAATCCTCGGCATGCGGTGCTGTGCCAGCCAACTCGAAGGCCTGGGCATTGTTAACGGCCGCCATGAAGTTGCGGGTTCGCAGATCCAGGAAGGGCTGCCACTTCTTCGTCTCGCCCTGGGTAAGGAACATGACCGGGAAGATGTTCTGCTTGAAGCGCAACATCGTACACATATCGGCATCGAAGCTGGAAAAGATTATGGGCCTGCCACAACCGTGCTGGATCACCTGATGGAGTACTTTATCGGCAAGAAGTTCTTGTCGATGGTCTGCTCTGCCTCAGATCCTCCGCCCTGTCGACGCTGCGGCCACTTGATCTCCACATCAATGCCCAGGGACTTGGGCAGCTGGACGAGCACCTCCACTAGCGTTGGGAAGATCCGATGCTCAGGCCGGGGCTCAGCGTTGTGGGAGGGATACTCCACCACTTTGCCTGCGATCACAGAGAAGATGCGCAGTCGCTTCAGGAGACTATAGTTGATGTCCTTAATCAGCACGTATTCCAGTTGGTCCGGCCGGCTGATCTGTTTGCCGGGCGGAGCAGTGCGTAGTCCAAAGTCGTGATAGATCACGGGCACACCGTCGGCCGTCAAGTGGACATCCAACTCGATCATATCCGCATGATGTTCGTGGGCACTCAGGAAGGAGGCAATGGTGTTCTCCCTCTCAGCGGGGCATCCGCAATGTAGCTCTTGCCATTGCCACGATGACCCACGTCCAGACTGGGCCAACTCTTGGGCCAGTAGTGGGCATAGGTGGTCTTAAAGTCCAACGGGGAATAGCGATACGGTTGCACAACCACATATGGGAGCCTTAGCCTGGCCAGAGTCTCCTCGGCATCCTTGGCCGACTTGATGGGAAGGTGAAGTAGTCCCTCGCTGCCCGTCAGATCGGCGCTAGCAGATTGGCGCTGCCCAGAAGCTCGTTGCTCATGCTGTAGCACTCCAGCGGAAATGCTGCTGCATCATTCTCTCCAGCGGCAGGGTGATGTGGAATATGATGATATCCCCCTTGGTGTACGGCACCCCGAAGGTGGGCTGCTGGTCCAGCTGACTCTTGCCATACTCCTGCTTTGTGTACTCCACCTGAAGGCCGGCGGTCTGCTCTACGGGCACAATCTTCAGCTGCACATGTGCGGGTCAAAGGTCTCTATGTCGTGGACCTGGAACATCTTCTCGCCGTTGAACTTGAGCTGCAAGATCACCTCGTGGTTGAGCCAGCCGCGATGCACTTGCGGCTTCAGATCGGCATTATCGGCGGTGATGCCGAACACATCCAACTGGCTGCACTGCAGCTCCGAGCAGGGTCCCAAGACCTGGGCTTGAAGTGCGTCTCCCAGCGACGGATTTGCTTGTAGCCGGAACGATCCTCCACGTAGACAAAGAAACGATACTCCAGCTGCCGGCATGATTGCATCGGCACCGTGGCCTGCCAGTTGAGCTCATCCAGTGATTCCAGAGGCACACTCCTCGACAGCTGCCACTCGCCCAGAGCCTTGGCATCACCGGTCAAGCCCAGACGCTCCTCGGGTCTCAGCGGCACCTCCAGACGCACATTGAACTCCCGCAAAGTGGGCTTGCAGGCGGCGGCGGCGGACTCCAGCTCATTGCCCGTTCCATAGACGAGGGCGGCTCCATCCGCAAAGGCGGCACACTGCAAGGACAACAGGCAACAGCCAGGAATATTAGTACAGTGCGAGACATGGCCCTGGCTTGGTTCCGCAGTGGAGGCCAGACACCGACTGAAAGCGTCGCAGCCGGAGCTGATCGTTATTAAATAGACTCGCGTTGACTTCCCTGCTGCGCCAGCGCGACTAATCTCGTTGACCCCTTGCGGATTCGGATTTGGATTCGTATTCGGTTTCGCCCTGATAAAGTTTCTCTAGGCGTTGCCAGTGCACGCCCCCCCCACACACCCGGCTAGCCCGGTTCCCTCCGATCTGCTGGTTCCCCTCCTTATAGCTCCCGATTTCTCAAATTAGAATTAAAAACAGGTTCGCGCGATAAGCACGCGTTTAAAGACGCGTCCGTGCTCGTGAATCTCGGAGGCGCAAACAAGATCACGTGTTGGACCAAGACTCGACTAAAGATCAGCGCTTCGATTATCAGCTCGACAGCGAACCATTAAAAATGAATGTGAATATATGAATATATATATAGGAGCCCCGCCCAGCTCTGCGAGTAATCGTTCTATTTGCCCGCTGAGCTCAGTTGAACTGACGTCCAGTAATTTGTTTTATTTTTGAGTAATTTCGCTGAGACTGCCTTCGAAACACTATATATAGTATATACTAATAAACAGTTGTTCTTAATTTATTTGCGTAATATTTGCACTGAGAACACAATCATATATAACAGCTTATGCCAAATAGATAACCCCGGAAGGAATTATAAATATAGCTACTTCTTTCCTTATAAATCATGTTAGTTTTGTTCCAAAACAAGGTCAACAAAGTATTTATAAATTTTGGGAACTAAAAAAAAGGGGTTCTTGATAACTTTTGGAAAAAGAATAACCAGAAAGGAAGCTATATTCGGGAACTATCCGAAAATTTGTAGAAAAAATGATAACTTTTATAGTTTATATGTTATATTATATCTAACTTTATTAATCTATGACCATTAATTAACTATGATCAGTAAGTATGATGCATGATCACTTAGTAACTATGATCAGTAAGTATCTATGACCTATGAATGTATGATCAGTTACTAACTTAAACACTCATAAACAATGACTTGCAACTTTGTAACACAACACATCCCCGAGACTTGGCCGGCAGCAGTCACTTCGTTCCAGGGATGTTAGAACTAGTTGAGAATCATAAGCACAGTGTGCGAAATTAACTATGAGCACTAAGTAACTCTGATCAGTAACAATCAATGAACATAAAGTAACTAAAATCTGTAAATAACTATGATCAAGAATTAACTAAGAGCAGTAAGTAACTCTGAACAGTATGTATGTATATGACCAGTAATTAACTATGATCAGTAAGTATCTATGACCTAAGTATGTATGATCAGTTACTAACTTTAACACTCATAAACAATGACTTGCAACTTTTGAAACACAACACATCCCGAGACTTGGCCGGCAGCAGTCACTTCGTTCCGGGGATGTTTGAACTAGTTGAGAATCATAAGCACAGTGTGTGAGATTTTTTTGGAACGAATTTTAGCTATTTCAATGAAACTATGGAGTTATTCGTCTATAAATTTTACTAGTATATAAGTCGGAGCATGACGGATCGGTGGACTATATATATACATATATATAGCTGACATAGGAACAATCGGAAATTTTTAAGAAAAAATATTATAACTTTTCCAGTTTTCAAAAGATTTTCATCCAATTTGATATATAGCCATTATATATTAATCTTGAATTTTATGTAAAATGTTATGGAAATCGGTTTACTATATCATATAGCTTTCATACAAACGATCGTTAAAAATTGAGGAAAATGCAAAACAATGAATGTTAAATATAAAATGTTTAGGTGAATAAATGTGTTTAAAATTTTTGTTTTCTGTTGGAGATGACTGGAAAGATTCGCCTGTTTATGCTGATCAAGAATATATATGGTTTATAGGGTCGGAAATGACTCCTTGAAATCGTTTTAAACGTCTGACTACACTGTATTTAACATTTTCAAAATATTTAAACAACTCAGATTCCTGCACGATCTATTTTTTCAAAAAGCACTACAAAACTATGCAATTAACAGCACGCGTTTAAAACCGCTAGATATCGAGCAGTTTACCTTTGAACGAAACGCTAGCAAGTCGCTGGCAGACGACTGCAGGTGTAAAGATCGCTGGTACCGCTGCCATTTCAGGTGCTTCCGATCGCTGATGATGCAATGACTGCTGATGGCTCTACAAGTGCCGACGAGCCCCTGACAACCGGGCGCTAAACACTGTCGCAATGGCCAGAGTTTATAGTATAAGGAGAGCGAACCCATATAATTTAATAACCACAAAAATTTAATAACGAAACAAATTGGCACGTGTTGACGGAGCTCACTAGATTTATGCGTTCTAGGCGGAGGAGAGCAACAGTCTTAGCAATAGTCTCCTCCTCCTCCGCCGCCGCCGCCGACGCCTTGGCAACATTTCAAATTGCAATGGGAAAAGTCGCGTGTTGTTGCCATCTTCGCCTACTCAAAACTACTGTGCGATTTGCTATTTATTATAGTTTTCTTCTGGGTATGTGTGTGTGTGTGTGTGGTATAAGCTTTTCCGCCTTTATTTTATTTTCGACTGACTTGCGTCAGCCGGTGCGTTTGTTGTGCGATTTCCTAGCGATTCCACGTTCTTGGCACAATTAGCATAGCCTTGTGATTTTCTGCGGGGGAGGAAACTATCCATTTGAATTGATCTAAAATCGCGCCTCAACATGGAATAGCTTTTGGTTGAATTTTATTGTTAACCGAATTTGGTTTTTAAACTAAATATTTCTCAACTCTATGCTAATTTCTGTGTGCTATATGGAGCTTTACCTCGATTTCGAAATATTTGTCACGTTTTTTCAACGCAGGCGCTCTTTTTATTGGCTCTCTCTCTTGCCGCCTCGCCCATATGTTTTTTGTTTTGGGAAATTTCAGACTCAAAAGCTTTGCTTTAGTTTTTTTGTGGGTGTTACTTCTTGGCATGGGTTTTATTTATAGTAAAAGCTCGCATACATCTGGCTTCGTGGCCGTAGCTAAGGGGCTCTACCTCCACTTGTTATCAGTCAAAATAAGGTGTAATATCAGGTATCATATATTGGCCAGGTATTGTTTGCTTGTTTATGGCACACTCTTTAGTAGCTAATAAGCTGAAATCTAATCGAAAACATGAGCCACTTAGCTGTACCTCTTGAAAGCTTAACCCTCTGAAAAACAACCTTAAACCGAAGTGATTGAGTCACGTGAGTCGGGGTAGAACCCCCCTCTTTTTGCAACATGTGGCATTTGCTTGGGGAATAGCTTATACATATATTAAAAAAAATAAATGAGTACTGGTTGAGTACTTGCTTTTCTAGGTAATGACATCATTAACAGAAAGAAAACAACCTACTTCACCTGAAATAACTTCTAAATAAATCAATTTTAAATGGCTAGAAAATAAATCTTCGTAGTAAAACATTTGCTTTATAGTTACCCTGCCCACTTGACTATTTTTTCCCCCAGCTGGCAATTATTTTGTGCCCAATAACTAAAATATTTTAATAATATATTTGTACATGTACTCCTTGACTTTTGCCCCCTCGATCTAGTATTGATTTTTGTCATATACCCACAGAAATTGCATAAACAAAACGTCGCAGAAGACACGCTAATGTACGACCTTCAGACACCCCGAAAATGTCAAAACCCATAGACACTGGGCTCATTACAACAGTCATAAGATTCCGCATTGTATACATGAATTCGATTTTCAAAGGGTAATTACATTTTGCATGTGCTCATCCGGACTCTGGGCCTCCATGGGGGTCAGCAGCATGGGTACTGACATTTTGGTTGATGATTCTTCGGCTTCTTTGTTTAGAGCACAAGGGGAGTTTGGGTTTGAGTTAGAGGTTGTTGTTGATTTTTTTGGTGTCGAAGAACGAAGAAAATTCAACTTTTATCACAGTTAATTTTATAGTTTGCACTATGCGGCGTATGCGCAATATTTTAGTCTCTCAGGCTAGGCAAGCATTTTGTACTTGTTTGGTTTTTTGCCTTTCTATGTTTTATATTATTTTGTTTGCTTGATTATGTTTTGGTATCCTTGGAGGGGGAGGGCTGATGAACTCCTTGGGTAACTAGGACACTGTGGACGGTCCGTCGTCACAACTCGACGTTGCAGTCGCAACTGTTTCAGGCGCTTTTGTTGTGCGCGCAATTTAAACGATTTCTTTTTATCGAAATGAGTCGCCCGGCGAGCTTTTTTGCCACACTCTGCCCGTTTTCTTTGTGCGCGAGACAGAGACGTAGGAATAATATCCGACGACGTCGATTTGTTTTGGTTTTCAGTCCGCTGGCGGTACAGTTGCGGCTTGGGCTTTTATTCAAAATGCTGTTGGCCTCTACCAACGGGCAACGAAACACACAAACAAAAATAATCATAAAAAAATAAATAAATAAAAACGGAAAACAGAGAAACACACAGCAGATAATACAGAAAACATGAAGATTAATCGAATTAGCAATGCCCTCGATCGACAGGAGAGGAAAGCGAACTGCCGATTAATCAGCGGAAAATAATTAGCAAGAACCGAGATTCATCAATATCTTTTTCTAGGTTTTAACTGCCTTTAAGGCATAGAATTATGGTGGTTATAAGGTGTTAAATAAATTTATATGAGGGTATATAATTATAGAATTATGCTTGCTGTTGCAGTGCAGGAACAGTATTCCAGATTGCAAAATTTATAGCCCTTATAAGCAGATAATATTTATATACTTTATAAGGCTATTAAGAAGCATAATAAAGAAATTTAGGAAAGTAGGGGATTACAAATGAACACCGTTTTGTGATATTTAGAAACTATTTTACAAGAAGATTTCTTATTAAAATCAATGAAATTTGTAAGATTTGCAGTTATATCTATTAAATACCCTTAACTACCTTTTCCCATCTCAAACTCAAATACTGCCTAGTTACAGAAAGATGATCACTCTGTACCAATCCCCTTTTTTCAGGGTATGCCCAACTAAATTAAACTCCTCTAACGCTCTGTGTAGATGGCGTGGCTCGGGCGAAACACGCAATCGAAAAGCTCCCCAAGTCGATGACAACACGAGAGATTCATGGGGAACGGAGCAAACCTCAGCCCCAGACCGAGGCGAGGCCCATCCCCTGACCCGCTGTGTCCCCACTGTGGCCACGAGGTTCGCATTTGCTCCGCAGCGAAAACGTGTTGGTCGTGTGCAGCTGTCGGCAGCAGCGATGTGGCGCACGTGAAAAGTTTTTTTTTTCATCTTTTTCTTTAGTCTGTTTATGTGGGGCGTAGTCGTAGCCGGGCCCTCGCCACGCCACGGATGCCGCAGCCTCACCAAGAAGCTGAATGGGCATCCGGTCGAAAAGCTCCCATGCCTCTCTCTCTCTCTCAATCTGATACACCTCTCCCTCGCTCGTTGGGGAAAACTGGTTTGCGTCGGTTGGGGATTTGGCTGTTTTCCTCATCGTTTGTTTACATCGCTTTGATAAGAGCCAAGAACTATTCAAGCTTTTTGGCTTCGAAATCAAAGCTCTGCGGTCAAGGTCTTTGAGTGTGTGTGTGGGTGCCCTATCGTCGATCGTAATCGTATAATTTTGGATGTTGCTAGGCGCAATTCTTATAAATATATATATAAGAGAAAATACAAATGCTTGGCTTTTGCTCACTTTCGTTGTGTGTTTTGATTTATAAACAAAGCAAAGCGAAGCCAAGTTCTTTACATATTATTTGTGTTTTTATAATCATTTTGCTGTATAGACGAAACCGCCTCATTGGGTCCAAAGTTCAATTAAGTTGCTCTAAATCATTTTGTGATTTGTTTTGCGAAAGCTTATTTCTTGTTTTTCACTATAGATATAGATATATACATATATAGATATAGATATGTTGATGTTGACGCGCCCCTTCTAGGAAGTAAAGTCACAGATCGAACCCGAATTCTTGTTATCCAACATGATTTCGGTCACGTTTGCCTACTTGTTGTTCCCTTTTACAAAACAATAATATTTACGTGTATTTTCTAGCTTATATTGCATGTTCTTTAGTGCTTTGTTTACATCACTACCGAGCAAAAGCTTCTACTGTAGACCTTGCTACCGGAAAACAAAAGCAAAATAAGCAATTCGCGCAAGTGTTTACCAACGATTCGGGTTTAGGTAAACAAATTTCATTGAACAATCAATCAGCCCGAGCTTTATCCTATGAAATTTGATCGATACTTCAGCAGAACTCCCTATTAAATTTCTTTTACGTTTTTATAACAAGAAATCATGTTTGGATTCAATTTAATCGTAGATAGGTTGTTGATAAATCCCATATCAAAAAGACTACATTTTCTACTCTTAAACATAATAAACGTTGGAGCATCTCATACCTGTTCGGCCATGATGATGATCAACGATCGCTGTCAGGGTCACCCTTGAGGGGGCGTTGGACTTGCACTTGAAGCACCAGCAGCAGCAGCACCTCCCAGTGATTTCGTCACGCGCTTGCTACACCTTCGCCGATAATATAGATTGCGATATCATCAGTGATTCTTATCACACAGAGGCACACAGGCACCGCCTCCGGAGGCCAGCACAAAACTGATGAGGATGAGGATGACAATTGATGTGTAAGATGTCGTCGAGTTTAACGGGGCTTCCAACTTAGAGTGTCTACTACGGATAAATAGGAAGTCGCTTTTGTCGCTATTTTCGCTTCCTCCGCGTCGCACAGCGTAAATACAATTAAATCAATTTAAAACAATAAAATCCGAATCCGAACAGCGGCCGCTAGCCACAAAGAGAGAGCGGAACAATGATAGACGGCAGGGCAGAATGGCGGCAGATAAGCTGTAATGAGGCATCTTGGTGTTGGGCGCCGCCGAGGACCTGAAAGATTACGAGATTATAATAGTGTGCAAGAGAGAGATTGCAGTTGAGACTGTACCCTGCACTTCGGCCCCAACCACGTCACGTTGCGGATGAACTGTTTTCCTCGATAATTGCTTCTGTAGGTGCCTCTGTGGCTGCCTCCTCTGCCGGCGGTGCCTTGTCATCAGGCTTTGTCTTTTGCTCACGCTCAAACAGAATGACCAGCTCGGTGTGTGTGGTGTGGGGAAACATATCCACGGCCACAGCGGATTTCGGATAGAAAGGTTCTCCCTTATATGCCTTCGACTCAGGTCGGGCCAACTCTATAAAGTTCCGCTTGGCACTGTGCGGATTACAGGAGACGTAGACCAGACGATTGATGGCACTCGCGGAACGGATAGCGGCTATCGAGCGATTATCTGTATTGGGGTAAAGGTAATGCATATATAAACCAATAAAATGCAGTAAAGATTATTGTACTTACGCAACCCCGCCCTTGGCGGATCCACCACGGCTATGAGATCTACTGGCTTTCCTGGCTCCTGTTCGTAGAGAGCCTCCCGCACCATGCTCTTGATAAAATCATCAGCGTTTCCCGTGAAGAACTTGCAGTTCTTGATTCCATTCGCTTCCGCATTGAACTCAGCGTCTTTGATGGCATCCGGAACGATTTCCACGCCCAAGACTTTCTTGCAATGCTTGGCAAAAGCTAGGGTAATGGTACCAGTGCCGCAGCAAATGTCCAACATAGTGGTGTCTTTCGTGGGAGCGGCCAAGTCAATGGCTTGCTGATACAGAACATTGGCACCTTCTGTGTTGATTTGAAAAAAGGCCAACGGACTGATCCGGAACTGAAGACCCTGAATCGTGTCCGTGATATGTGTGCTGCCCAGGATGTGATCCACTGGATTGACCATCTGTCCGGCTTCCCTATGCTTCACATCCTGGTAATACAACGAGGTGCATTTGTAGGGAGCATCTTCCTCAACATTTTCGTAGTAGGTCTTCAGTTCATCTTTCAGCTCCTGCTGTTCGGCTGCAGTCAGGTTGGAGGAGTATATACCGGCCACCAGCATAAGTTCACCTGTGGCGCTGGAACACCGCACCATCAGTTGGCGGAAGTGTCCCACGTTGCCATCCGGATTAAAAGGCAGGAATTTTGACTTTCTCACAAGCTCTTGAAAACTGCGGGCGGCCCACTTAGCCTGCTCTGGCAAATGTGGCAGCTCCTGGACTTCGGCCACTTCCACGGAACCGTCGCTGTAGCAGCCCAGCCGGAAGCCTACAACAATTTCGCCCTGCGAGTTCTTTCCCACGGTGAACTCGTTCTTGTTCCTATAACCCGTAACTGTGGGCGAGGCCAGCACCTCCTGGAACTTGAACTTATCCAGATGCGGCTTGGCCCGCGGATTAATCTTCCTCAGCTCTGGGTGTATTTCTTGAGGAGTGCGGACATCTCCTCGGATTTCTGCTTTAGCTGTTGGTCATACGGAATATCCGCCAGAGGACATGTGCTTCTACGGCCGTGCGTTGCTTTTTTGGTTTTCCCTCGACTCCCTGGTCTTCCGCAGCTCGCTTTTCTGAAGGATCAGCGGAGCCTTGGCCGCCAGGGCCTTGAGTACCTACCTTTCCATTTATAGCCATTCAGGGTTTCAGTGCTCTCTGCTGATCCTCTTGGGTGCGAAAGCAGACGAAGGCAAACTCTTTTCGGTCGGCGACTTAATCTTGTCATGTCAGCTTCAGCGTGTTCTTTAACAGCTTCTTAAACTCCTGAAAAGGTTTGTAAATTGAGTGTTAAGTGTTTTAAGTTATAAATGGTGTTAAACTACTTACACCGATACCAAAATATCCCATATTCTTCACTTCGATTTTGTATATTTCCGATGTGAACTCATTGCGCTCCAAATAGGCAAATTCGTCGCCGGCTTTTTCAGTTTCCTCCTTGACAATTCACTTGCTGTGTTCTTCTTTTCCTGCACATTTTCTATGCTTGCCTCGACTTCTGGTGTATCCTTGGAAGCCTCTGCTGTTATTTCTGTGCTTAAACAGTCCATTTTAACTATTTTAAGGGATTTTTAAGCACAATGAAAAACATAAACAGAAAAAACACGTGAAATAGAAATTAGTGTGACCGTCGACTTTTTCACTCAAATCCAGAACCAAATGACGCAGTGATACCATCTTTGGAAAAAACAATCTATTGTGAATAGATTTGAGGTTCGCGCACTTTTTGAATTCAAAACTAAAATTTATTTTAGGAAACAATAGAAAAAGTTGTCTTTATTTTTAATCCTTGACTTCTTCAAAGCGTTCTAAGGCTGAATTCAGAATTACTTGACGTTCTACAAGTAATTGTTGCATTTCCGGTTCATGTTTCATGATATTTCTGATTTCCCTAAGCAACTCTGCTGCTTGTCTGAGCTTCTCCTCGCACTCCTGTGGCTCCTCCGAACGTAAAGCCTGTGCCACTAGAGCTTCCTCCATATCAATAAGAAGATTCCGCGAAAAATACTCCAGCCACCGTCGAAAATGTCGGCCAACTTAAGAAGTTCTTCGCACAGTTGCACTTTTCTGGTGAGTGATTCTTCCGATAAATCTAAACCATAATTATTTGAATTTATATTATACATAAGTATATATACTATTTATCTTACCATCCATGGCGTAACCAGGAGCACTGCCATACAACTGAGTGAGAGCATATTTAGCTTGCAGGATATGGGTATTGGTCTCATGGAGATCCGCACGGTGACGATAGATGAAGTCTTCGAGAGCTACTGGGGTGGTCTTGTCCAGGGATTCCAGTTCCTGCTGAAGTTGGTTATCCACAGTGAGCACCTCCTTGGCGGTCTCTTGAGGTTACACAGCTGGCACTTCCAATTGGCAGCGTTTTGTAAAGGATTCAAGGAGATGATCTATAAAATATGAAAATCCTTAAATTTTAAGTTCTCAAGCATTGTAGCTCCTTCTCACCTTTCCTGCCTTGCATTTTAGACACGTTTGTGCCCCGGCAAAGCTGCCCAGCTCTTCGGGATCCTGACACCTGGCACAGGAGCAATCGAAGCACTTGGCCTGCCTTAGATGAACCCTTCGTTGGATCGTGCTCCTCAACGGCTGGGTATAGGATATACTCAGGATCTCTCCCTTGGCTATCTTCCTTTTGGCCAGAAACACTATGTTCAGGTCATCATCGAAGCGGTGCCTCATATTGGGCACACAGTCGTGAGAGATCATAGCGGCTCCCGGGAAAAGGGCCCGAATTTTCCTCTCTCCCTGGGCTGCCTTATCTCAAAGGTGTTTGTGTCCAATATAGCTGCAATCCGAAGGATGTCCAGCTCCGACCAGTCCCTCATTCCCAATACAGTCTTGATGAATGTAATGAGATTGGCTCGTAGCACCTGATACAGGGGAGTTTCCAGTCGCTCTTTGAGGTGATCTTCCAGGGCGGAGAGTCGAGCGAATGCCTCCGGATCCTTGTTCTTGAGTTGCATGCAACGTAACAGCATGATCACACAGTAAGCTGACTCCTTGCGCTCCTCCTCACCCGGTGTGTAATTAATTTTGGACTGGAAGTTACTGCCCTTCATGAGCTGACATTCAGGTTGATGATGGGAGAGTTCTCGCACTCCTTTCCGCACAGAGGCCAACTGCAGGAGCTGCACTTGTAGTAGTTGCCTTGCCGATTGCCAGGAGCCAAGAGGTTCCTATGGCAGCCCAGGCACAGAGCAGCAGAGGCCACCTTGGGACCCAGAACCAGTGGAGCCTCCTTCAGGATTTGCTCGCCAATCTTGATATCCCTGGTGGATCGCAAATGCCTGCCCAAAATCTCATTGGTGGCCACCTCATAGCACTTGCACTCCAACTTGTGACCCCTCTTCCAGTGCTCCTTCTGATGCTCCCGACTGCAATAGACCACGTTCCTGCAGGCGGCACACAGCTGGGAGCTCTTGCCTGGCACAGGCGCAGGATGTCAGGGAAGTAGAAGCCATCGAAAAGATCTCCTCCAATATATCTCCCTCTGTTTGCGTAATGCCAAGCGGTTAAAAAACACTGAGCAGAGCAGAACACGGGAAAAACAATTTTTCAGTGCTCTGTCTGCGGACTCTACTCGCGATCTGATTGCGAGAACATTTTCTTTTGTGTCTCCGTCTCGGCTGCCAAAAAATAAACGCTCGAGCGGATTCAGATCGCTCTGCACATCCACATCTCTGTCACATGGCGCACGACGATTTAAAATTAGATCTTTGTGTCGTGTTGCCTAAAAGCCAAGACAATGTTCAATTTGTCGGTTGCCGGCCAAACATTTAGCTGGCTAAATGTTTATCCAGATATACCAAATAACCAGATACATATTGCAATGGGGCAGCATCAGGGAGCATTTGCCAGCCACTTTTATGTGTTGTTATGCCCTTGCAGGGTATTATAATTTCAGTCAGAAGTAACTATGAGCATTAAGTAACTCTGACCAGTAAATATCTATGACCAGTAAGTATCAATGAAATTAAGTAACTGTGATCAGTAATTAACTATGAGCCTTAAGTAACTCTGAACAGTAAGTATCTGTGACCAGTAAGTAACTATGATCACTAAGTATCAATAAACATTAAGTAACTATGATCAGTAAGTATCTATGACCAGTAAGTAACTATGTATGCTTGATCACTTACTAACTTTGAACACTAATAAACAATGACTTGCAACTTTTGTAACACAACACATTTCTGAGACTTGGTCTGCAGCAGTCACTTCGTTCCGGGGATGTTAGAACCAGTTGGGAATCATATGTACAGTGTGCGAAATTAGTTTTGAAAACAAATTTAAGCATTTTCTATGAATCTATGGAGTTATTCTTCTATATAATTTTACTAGTAAATAAGTCGGACCATGACGAATCGGTAGACTATATATATACATATATATACCTGACATAGGAACAATCAGACGATTTATAGAACTATGATCATAATTAACTATTATGTGTAGTTAACTATGACCAGTAAGTAACTCTGAACAGTGAGTATCTATGACCAGTAAGTAACTCTGAACAGTAAGTATCTGTGACCAGTAAGAAACTATGATCACTAAGTATCAATAACATTAAGTAACTATGATCAGTAAGTATCTATGACCAGTAAGTAACTATGTATGCTTGATCACTGCTAACTTTGAACACTAATAAACAATGACTTGCAACTTTTGTAACACAACACATTTCTGAGACTTGGTCTGCAGCAGTCACTTCGTTCCGGGGATGTTAGAACAGTTGGAATCATATGTACGAGTATGCGAAATTTGTTTTGAAACAAATTTAAGCATTTTCAATGAATCTATGGAGTTATTCTTCTATATAATTTTACTAGTAAATAAGTCGGACCATGACGAATCGGTAGACTATATATATACATATATATACCTGACATAGGAACAATCAGACGATTTATAGAACTATGATCAATAATTAACTATTATGTGTAGTTAACTATGACCAGTAAGTAACTCTGAACAGTGAGTATCTATGACCAGTAAGTAACTCTGAACAGTAAGTATCTATGACCAGTAAGTAACTATGATCACTAAGAATCAATGAACATTAAGTAACTATGATTAGTAAATATCTATGACCAGTAATTAACTATGTATGTTTGATCAGGTACTAACTTTGAACACTAATAAACAATGACTTGCAACTTTTGTAACACAACACATTTCTGAGACTTGGTCTGCAGCAGTCACTTCGTTCCGGGGATGTTAGAACCAGTTGGGAATCATATGTACGAGTATGCGAAATTTGTTTTGAAAACAAATTTAAGCATTTTCAATGAATCTATGGAGTTATTCTTCTATATAATTTTACTAGTAAATAAGTCGGACCATGACGAATCGGTAGACTATATATATACATATATATACCTGACATAGGAACAATCAGACGATTTATAGAACTATGATCAATAATAACTATTATGTGTAGTTAACTATGACAGTAAGTAACTCTGAACAGTGAGTATCTATGACCAGTAAGTAACTCTGAACAGTAAGTATCTATGACCAGTAAGTAACTATGATCACTAAGAATCAATGAACATTAAGTAACTATGATTAGTAAATATCTATGACCAGTAATTAACTATGTATGTTGATCAGGTACTAACTTTGAACACTAATAAACAATGACTTGCAACTTTTGTAACACAACACATTTCTGAGACTTGGTCGGCAGCAGTCACTTCGTTCCGGGGATGTTAGAACTAGTTGAGAATCATAAGCACAGTGTGTGAGATTTGTTTTGGAACGAATTTAAGCATTTTCAATGAATCTATGGAGTTCTTCTTCTACATAATTTTACTAGTATATAAGTCGGAGCATGGCGAATCGATGGACTATATATATACATATATATACCTGACATAGGAACAATCGGACGATTTATAGAACTATAATCAGTAATTAACTATGATCTGTAGTTAACTATGACCAGTATGTAACTCTGAACAGTGAGTATCTTTGACCAGTAAGTAACTCTGAACAGTAAGTATCTGTGACCAGTAAGTAACTATGATCACTAAGAATCAATGAACATTAAGTAACTATGATTAGTAAATATCTATGACCAGTAATTAACTATGTATGTTTGATCAGGTACTAACTTTGAACACTAATAAACAATGACTTGCAACTTTTGTAACACAACACATTTCTGAGACTTGGTCGGCAGCAGTCACTTCGTTCCGGGGATGTTAGAACTAGTTGAGAATCATAAGCACAGTGTGTGAGATTTGTTTTGGAACGAATTTAAGCATTTTCAATGAATCTATGGAGTTCTTCTTCTACATAATTTTACTAGTATATAAGTCGGAGCATGGCGAATCGATGGACTATATATATACATATATATACCTGACATAGGAACAATCGGACGATTTATAGAACTATAATCAGTAATTAACTATGATCTGTAGTTAACTATGACCAGTATGTAACTCTGAACAGTGAGTATCTATGACCAGTAAGTAACTCTGAACAGTAAGTATCTGTGACCAGTAAGTAACTATGATCACTAAGTATCAATGAACATTAAGTAACTATGATTAGTAAATATCTATGACCAGTAATTAACTATGTATGTTTGATCAGGTACTAACTTTGAACACTAATAAACAATGACTTGCAACTTTTGTAACACAACACATTTCGAGACTTGGTCGGCAGCAGTCACTTCGTTCCGGGATGTTAGAACCAGTTGGGAATCTTATGTACAAGTGTGCGAGATTTGTTTTAAAACTAATTTAAGCATTTTCAATGAATCTATGGAGTTATTCTTCTATATAATTTTGGTAGTATAGAAGTCAGACCATGACGAATCGGTGGACTGTATATATACAAATATATAGCTGCCATAGGAACAATCAGAATATTTTAAAAACAAAAATATGCACTTTTCCAGTTTTATATAGCCATTACATATTTCTCTAGGATTTTGGTACAATTTTATAAAAATCGGACTGCTATATCATATAACTGCCTTTTATCACGCCTTTAATAAAAAATGCTCATTGTAGTTTCCATTTTAGCAATTCAATAATTTATTTAGTATTTCTCATAAATTGTCTATATGTATTTATCAATATATTTATTTTTATTCATATGCAATTAATTAATATATATATTGTTTAATTGGAAATCAGTCTTTTTTATTTAAATAAGAGTTAAATGCATTTTGTTTTTGTGCTTGTTTCGCTTGATTTGATTGATTGATTGGATTGATTACTCGATTGGTTGACAGATGACGAATTAAAAACAAGTTGTTTAAAAATAATAATTGAACTACAGTTTGTGTGTGTTGGGTTTTTAGTATTTAGTTGCATTGTTGCTTGTCTTGTGCTTGGTGTTAGTGTTAAGAACTAAAGGTGGTATTTAAATTAATTGGCTTAGTTAACATAAATATACACGATCGATCGATAGTTTAAACTTAAAACTGGCGGCCAACGAAGGTTTTGCTCTCTGTCTCTCTGCCTCTAAACACTTAAAAAGCGGCGCATAAAATTTTTATATCATAGACAACAATTTCATTTAATAATTTGCACTAAACAATAGTTTTTTTGTTTCCTCATTTAGTTTACACAGCGCACAGCAACACAAAATGCTTTGGGTGCAACATGTTGCCAGCGCTGCTTGGCTACCGGTAGTGTGATATGTGTGGCTGCAACATGTTGCTAGTGGATTAGCATAGCGAAGCGGCGATTCAATTGTTGCTAAGGCAAAAGGCGCATAAATTTTAATTTTACTTTCGTTCTTGCATAAGCTATAGAGGCTACACATATACCGGAATCATTAGATTTTACAGTGAGCTTTATCTTCAACGAGTTTAAGTGTTCCATTTGGTTCTGAAGATGTCTGAAGCGAGATTGGAACAATAAGTTTGAAGTTGCAGAAGATTTTCTGGAGTAACTCGTTTTTGAACTATCTTTAAATATGAACATATTAATATTATAATTACTTTGTAGGCAAATCATAAATAATGATAGATTCCAGAGACATTACGATTAGCAAAGGATAACTCTGATTTCAAACTCATTGCTCCCTCTCGCTTCTTGCGGCCCCTTAATATCGTCTTTTCGAATATTATCTTGTCTTGTAGTTTGATAAAGGCTAACTTTAAATTACAATTGGCGCTACATTAATCAATAGATTGAAAACATAAGCAACATTCAAATAGTTCATAGTGTGTGGTGCGTTTCCCTCTCTCTTCTTAGCCTAGACATCCTGCTGCTCCTTGAAGTGGTGATAGTGATGGTGGATGTGCTCGTGCACATAGCGATGGATCATCGAGCTGGAGGCACTGGTGTCCAGTTCCACCTCCTGAGCCTGACCCTCCTCCGCCTCCAGCGGCTGTTGCCACCCTCCGTGACAGCCTCCGCCACAGCCTCACCCACGTCGTCATTCAGATCGATGAGGGTATCGGTGCTGACCACCTTGCTGGGTGTGCTGGTTAACTGGGGACTGGGTGGCAGGTCCTCCTCCTCGCTGGCCAACAGATGGGCACACTCCAGGGCATCGCCGTAGATCTTGGAGGCACCGGAACTGGAATTAGAGGTGGTGGACGCTGATCCGCCTGCTCCGGCTCCCTGTTCTTCTCCTGCAACAGTTGGTTTTGTTGCTGGCTGCTGCTTGTGTCGGTGGCGCCTCTGCTCCCGTTCCTTTTGCTGCAGCTGCTCACTCAGCTTGGCATAGATGAGATTGCCATAGTTCCTGTAGTCCTTGCTGCTCCGCTGCTCCTTCTGTTCCTTTTGCTGCTGTTGCTGCTGCTGCTGGTCCAGTCTCTGGTAACCCTGCAGCAGGTTCTTTTGATTCTTCTTGGGTATGGGCTGAACGGTGGCAACATTACTGGGCGTGGGTGGTGGTGAGTGGGCGGCTGCACCGCCACCACAGATGGTGGCGTGCAGGAAGGAATCGTAGCCACATAGATTCAGTTTGTTGTGGGCCGTATTGTGGGTTTGCTGGGCGGCCAAAACGGCTGGATTAATGGCCAACTGTTGGTGGTAGATGGGGATGTGCGGTTGGGGATGCTCGTGGTGGCTGTGATGCTGCTGCTGCTGCTGCTGATGGCCAGCGCTGACTCGTTGGATGCTGCTGCCACTGGAATGCAGGTGGTGTCCGCCGTGGGTGGACTGCAGCTGAGCGGCGATTGCTGGGCGACTGGGCTGTGATTGGCAATTAGCGTTGGGATTTTCGAGCCCGTATTGCAGCGTTGGCGTTGCTGTTGTTGTTGTTGTTGTTGTTGTGCTGCCGGTTGCCGTATGGGACTCACATTGGCTTGGGGTTTTCTGCAAAAATCACAAAGAAGAAAATCAATTAGTGCGATATTCATGGGTTTAAAGTGGGATTTTCTTAGGTGGAAGGGTTATGGGAGGTTAAAAATCATAGGGTAAGTTAAATAATTGATGTTAGAAAGGTAGAAAGTATATTAAATTTCGTTGGATTAATTTTGAACATAATTTTAAAGACCATTAACTGAAGTTAAATTTAATTTAACTTAAAATGATTAAAATGAATGCATAGACATTAATTATTTAGTACCAAAGCAACCATCTAGGGGTTCTTGTTTGAGTGTCATAGCCTGGCCTGGGTTATGGTCGACTTAATTCCGCTCGTTATCATTGTGGACTTTTTTTGGGGTGGATTTCATCGCAGGATTGGCTTACCCATTCAACTGAAAACACAGGCGATTCTTCTCCATGCTCTCCCTGATGATGCTAATTAAATCGTTCCGATTTAACGCAGATTTCCAGCACTCGGCCGACTTCCGTTGTTGCTGCTGTTGCTGCTGATGTTGCTGCTGCTGGTGGTGGTTGAGGGATTGGGGGCGTGGCTGGCGCAACTGCACACCATCGAGCATTAGCTCACCACCAACACCACCACCACCACCACCTGCACCACCCGGTGGTGGGGATACCGAGACACTCTTGTGGTTCAGCGGCTGGGCGGGCGAGGCCTGTGGTTGCTGTTGCTGTTGCTGCTGCAGATGTCGATTCTGCCAGTTGGAATCGTTGCCCACCGAGAGGCTCCGCTGACGCGTTTCAAGGCAGTGATCCTGATACTGATTGATGACGATGAGTTAACAAAAAACAAAGAAAATAATATTAAATTATAATTCAAGAAAACAATAAAGTATGTTCAATGTGAGCAACAACAAAAAAATATAACAAAAACAAAAGGCGAAGGGAAAGGGACATGGGTTTGTTAACTGCTGCCAGGGTTAATTTCTGGTTGCTTTTAAATATTTTCAGACGCATTTTAAGGTCAAATCTTAATTAATTTGATTTTAGTTATATTTAAAGCTGGCAGCAGTTTTGTTTTTAGTTTCAATTAATATTTGATTTGTTTTTGTTTATGATTTTGCTCGTTACCTTGTGCCTACCTTTTGTTTCCGCGCCCTCCGCAACATCTTGACCCGCTGGGTGGCCTGCTTCATGTAGATGTCCTGCTGCCGCTGCTGCTGCTGTTGCTGCTGGTGCAGGTGATGCTGTCGCTGTCCTGTTGGGCAATCCACCAGATCCCGGTCCCTGTCACTACTCTCCGGCTTACAGCATTTGAGATTCAGCATATTCTCGTAGGTATTGTGACCATTGTCCGGTGTGTGCTGCTCCGGACAGCATTGCTCCGGCCGAGCATTGTTCTTTGATGATACCGCGCCTGATGATGATGTCCCGTCTTGCCTGTCGCCTTTCCACCACTGCCACTAGGCTGATGCTGCTGCTGCTGCTGCTGCTCCGTGGATGGCATAGCATCCTTCTCGCTGTTGCTGTCATCGTCCTCGTCATCGGACTTAATCAGTTTGCGTGGTCGATAGCGATGCTGGCGGCGGCTGCCGGCGGATGTCGTTAGCGCCGTGGCCCCTGCTCCGGCACTTCCTCCTCCTGTGCCCGTCACTGTTTTCGACATGGCCGCCAGACCCGTGGGCAATTTCTTCAGCTTGCTGGAACCGAATCCGGCACCGACACCAACATTGGGCACTGGCTGCGCTTTCGATTTCCCCTCGGGACTGACGGTGAGGCGGACGTTGATTGTCTTGCTGCCGCAATGGGGCACCACCACGCTCTTGCCAATGGACTCGTATATGGTGTACACAATGCCCACAATGTCGTCCTTTGTTATCTTGCCATGGTGGCCATCCAGGTCGTAGAATGTGAACGAGAATTGCAGTGGCTGTGATGACTTGCCACCCTCCACGGACACGTCACAGGTGAATTCCTGGTTTTTAAATAAGAAAGAAATACGAATTAGAGAGAGGTTTCCTTAGAAATTTGATTTAAATAAGTATGAATTGAACATTGTTTCAGAAAATATAAAAGCAATACACCAAATACTATAATTATAATGAACTAATTTAATCTCCTAACACCTCCGTAAGCAATAAAAACCCTCGTGTAATTTTCACAAATGTTTATAGTTTTCCATCTCTCTAATAGCGCTCTCCCCTCGTAAATATTTTCCGAAAAACTTTTTCACACAAATTTTTAACAGCTTCATAAGCCTGATACAGTGGCAAACTAACTAACTAACTTTTAAAAACAACAAAAAGGGAAACTAACTTAGAGAAGTAGAAGTTTGTATACTCTTGCAGTTACCTATCATGATTTTGAATATGAAATTGATCATAACTAAGGCAATGATGAATTAATATCAATTTGGAGGAAGGACACTTACTATCACTACCACTTGCACTTATGATGTTTACAGGGCGGGAGGCTGCAACAGAATGAGGCCAGAGCGAAGGCAGCGGCTGTATTTATACTCTACGAGCAAAGAGAACAGAGAAAGGGAGAGCGAGAGAACAAGAGATGGTCAGGAGAAATAGAGAGCAAGAGGTAGCTCCCACAGAGAAAGAAAGAGAAAGAGAGGGAGCTAAGCATGTTCCTCTACATTTAACGATCATCTATGGCAGATATATGATATAGTCGTCCGATCTTAATAAATAAAACCGAAATTATAAAGTATCACCAAATTTAACTCCAATTAGATAAAAATATATTGAAAAATGGAAAAGTTATAATTTATTTCTAAATATTTTTCGATCGTTCCTATGCATATATATTTATATATTTGTTCGATCCGGCCTGTTTCGACGTACATATATACTAGTGAGTGTATACAAAAAAAGGCTAACTGCAAAGATTCATACAGATAGATTCAAAATTAACAGATTAGTTTGCATTGAAACGGATCAACTGCTGATTAAGAATATATATACTATATATAGTCGAAACTTTTTCAAACTTCTGACTTAAATTATAATACGCTGCTAGGGTATAAAAATGAACAAAAATGAGGGCAGAGGGGACAGGACAGAAAAAAAATGCAGCTAATAAACTTTGGAGCATAAAAATTGCTCCGCAAATTTCGTGCTCAACCCGAAAGTATGCAACACTTTTTGCAGATGCAACATGTTGGCCAAAGATTTTTTGGGATGCTGGATGCTGGAAAATGGAGCTGAACAGAAAGCCACATCCAGCTGCCACTAAAAACAACAATTAAGAGCAACACAAGACCACTAAAACCAGTCGAAAATTGTGGCCATAATTTGACTAAATATTTAATTTGCGTTGCAGAAGCACCCAGGGAGCAGCAGCAGCCGCAGTAGCATCATCACGGGTGGCAGGAGCAGAACCCATTACCATTGATAAAGTGGCAGTGCCCAGCATCCAACATTCAGCTCTGGGATACTCCACTCTCCCCTGATCTCCTGCCCCTCGTTCGCATATAAATAAATATAATTTCCTTTGCTGATGCTGCTGCTGCTTCTCTTGCTAGATTTTTAATTGCCCCTGAGTGCTTTTCGTGTTTGTTGTTTTGCTTTTAATGGTTTTTATTGAATTTTAATGTTTTGATATTTTCTTTTTTTTCTCTGTTTTGTTTCTTTGTTTTTGGCACAAGTAGAAACAGCATCCCGAAACATGGAATGCTCATCCGCAGTGGGTGGTAATGGAAAATTGCCGGCGCCCTTGTGTTAATGAAATATTTTTTCCCTCTTCGCTTGATTTTATTTTCATGGGTGTTTTTTGGGGTGGATGTTGGAACAACAAATGAAGCTGAGGCCAGGCAGTAGCCATTGAAATTTTAATTAAAAGCACATTGAAATGTTGAGTTTATGGTCGATGTGCGTTGTGCCCAGTGGGTCATGAATTATGGCCAGAAACGTTGGTCAGCCAGGGCCATTCTTCGGGGCGTGGGGTGGCGGCTAACACGATAATAACAGCCAGCACAGCGAGTTGATTAAACTTGACCAAACACCTGACTGGCAGGGGTGGGGGATGGGGGGTCAGATGCCGGCAAATGGAAAAGCAAACATCATTTAATTTATCATTCTGTATTTATAAGCCAAGCGATGGGTTGGCTAATTGAATATAAATCGAAAGAGCGGGATGTGAATGCTCTTAGAGAAGGGTAAAATAAATGTTTAAACAGGGGAAAATAAAAGGAATAATGTAAGAATAAATCAAATAATGAAAAGATATTGGCGAAAATAATTTAGAATATTTTTGTTATATTTTTTAAGGCTTTAAATAACAAGGAAACATTTTATTTCAATTACAAGATTGGCATACTTTTTACTTTCAATATTTTAGAATAATATTCTTTATGATTAGATACCCTACTATATAAATTATTATTTTATCTAAATATTTAATAATTAATTCAAAAGCTTCTCAAATTCCCATCCAAATCAGCTACCCTTTGGAAAGTGTACAAACAATTAATGACTTCATAAATATTTGTGTTATGAAACGATGAAACCAAGACAAACCAATCCATAAATTCATTAAACAAATGAATGGAAATTGAAATCAGAAATGGAATTGTATTAGCATTAAAATAACTTAAACTTGAACTCACCTCCAATCGTATGCGCTCCTCCTTGTGATGGTGCAAATGCCTAGAGTGTGTGGTATGACCGACATGTTGCTGCTGCTGCTGCTGCGGCGTCATTGCCGCTGCAGCATCCACCACATCCTCGTCCTGCACCGGCCCTGTTGCATATTCGAGTACTTGCCGTGGCGGCCATTGCTGCCACTGCTGATGCGCAGGTGTTTACTATGGCTGCCACCGCCGCTGCTCACATCCTGCGGATGTGATGGATTCCCCGACTGTGGATGACGGCCGGCGTTCGAGTTGTGGTTGTGGTGCGGATGCGTGTTATGATGCTGGTTATGATGATGCTTCGATGCCGAACCGGAGGCATTGCCCGGCGGCGTTGTGATTATATTTACCACGGGCGATCGCAGTTGTATATTATTGTCACGTTCGCTGACCAACAGCAGGTCGGGCGGGGCACTGCAGGAGGAGGAGGCGCGCACCTGGTGGTACATCAGCTCCTCGGAGTCTGTGGTGCATTCCTGGACTGCAACGACAAAAGGAGAAAGGGGAGTTAAAGAGGGGATGCTTTTAATTAAAATGCAAAGTGGCATGAAATTGGCGGCATCAAAACCGTTTCGAGCCCCCGCTCTTTGGCTATCTAAATCCCGCGACGCTTTGTCGGCTTTACACAGGGACACTGAGAGAAATGTTGGATATATAAACCAGATTATAAGATACAAGTAATTCCAAAAAATGATGAAAGAAATCTCATAAATATTATATATAAATTGTGTTTGTTCTTGCCAAATATTTGATTAAATTAAACAGTGTTCTGGTTTGTGTACTGTTTTCATTTGGCTTCTTTTTAGTTTTATTTTTTATATATTTTCATAATTTTATTTTAAAAATTCCCCATCATTTTTGTTTTCTCTGTATGCCTGTCGTTGGCGTCTTGCAATTTATTTGCAATTTGCACAAAGCGCATTACAACAGCACAAAAGTTTATGCCTCGACGCCAACACAAAGCGATGGCGACCAGGCGGCCAATGCCGGCGCCCTCTTTTTATACCGCAACCCCCCCCCCCCCTGCCCCCGCCGACGGCACCCTCAAGGCCGATCTCTTTGAATCCCCGCGAGACACTTGAAAGGCGACTGCTCGGAGAGCATTCCTAATTAATGACGTCGTCGGCGGTACTCAAAAGTTTTCCTTTCTTTTTCGATCTTTTGTTGGTCTCGGTTTCGGTTTGGTTTCTTTCGTTTTTTTTAAATTGAAATGGCTACAGTATTATCTGGCGATGGGTCGAGAGAGCCGTAAGCTGAGCCCGGGAGATGAGCAGTCCATGGTCTGTGGTCGTCGCTTTTGGCCCATTCATTACACATTACTCATACGACGCGTGAACCGCACCAAAAGCGAAGCGAATGCAGCTGTTTGATGTTCAGTAAACGTTTGAACTAAGGAATTTGTAATTTAAATATTTAAAGGGGAACGAGAAGTTATTTTTAATAGAGCAGAATGAGTAAAAAAGAATTAAAACTTGTTATAAATAGCTCAAAGTAAGCTAAAGTTTTCATAAAGGATTTATCAATAATTCCATTCAATGAACTTATAAATTATTCTAATTATTTGTCTATCCCTTTAAAATCTATTTCTCACCCTTTCCTTAGTGTGTCACTTTTAGTTTTCCCCAGTAAAATCCTTCACCTAAGTAAATGTTCCCCAAGAAAAGTAATGCAATGAAGAAAAACCCTTGTAAAGTGCTGCAGCATAAACCCCACTTGACACATAAATCCCATTTCCACTAGCTTCCCCTTGCGACGACGCCCTTCTTCTGCAGTAATTCACTTCTTGCTCCACTCTAGTCCTCCGGCCGCACTATCCATTGTATCTGCTTCATTTTAATTAATTAGCGCGCTTAAAAAAGGAGAAAAAAATATATAAATGAAGGGGGGAACCAGGAGAATTTCCACTTCTCGCCTGCTGACCCAAATTTGCGGTTTAGCTACGCGCGCGGTTTTTCCATTTTCCATTTCTCATTTTTCATTTCGCTTTTCATTTTTCATTTGTGTGAGTATTAGCCACGTCCTTGCCAAAGACCCCGCCCCATTTCGGGCTGAGCCCAGGACATGGCTTTTAATTGCATGAACATTATGCAAGCAAAGCAGTCCCAAGTCTCCATTTTGTATACTTTGTTCATTGTTTTTCCCGCCTGTTTTCGTTGCTATTGTCGTGTTTTTACCCTAACCCCCTTTTCTTCTTCGAAGGATCCAGAGGGAGAGGGGAGAGATTGAGAAAAGAGTTGCTGAGGTGGCGACAATTGAAGACAATTAGCCAAAGTGCCAGGGAAATGAGCTGTCGTTGAGTTTTGGCCAAGTACTGACATTGTTTACTTTCGAAAGGGAGAAATGGGGTGTGAACAGGAGTTGACCCAGTTTAATAAATTAAATAAAAAAAAAAAAAAAAATTAAATAAACAATCTTCCTCGAAGATCCTGGAATTGCTTATTGATGTCTTCATTTTCTCTCACATTTCCCTTACAAAACTTTTTGTCAAAATGCCACCTGCTCTCTATGCTCTTAACATCTGTATATTTGTTTTTTTTTTTTTTTTGTAAATTTTGTGTTTTATTACGGACAATTTATAACGTTTTCATCAAATTTATGCGCATTTTTGATTTGCACTATAATGCCCAGTCACAAGCACACTAATTAATTATGCAAATCTCATCGGGACAGCACTTTTATCTACAGCATCTACCTCGACTTGATAACACAAAAATTACACATGGCATTTAAAATATATATAGAGAGAAAAACGCATGGATCTGTTGGATATATATATGCTAATGAACTGGGCCTAAAACGATCCAGAGAAGCGGCCACTTTAATTGAGCCAAAAAAAACGAAGAAGAGTGAGAGACTCACACGCATTACTCATACGCCACGTAGGCTGCATTCAATTCCTCTACCCCGAGCATGTATGTATTTCTTTTGATAGATAAGCCGCAGGCCGTGACGTTCCATTTATCATAGAAAATTCATGAGGCTGCGAGTAGACCATTTCGACACAGCGACCTCACCTCACAGGTAAGTCGAAGCCCTTGGGCACGGCCCCGGTGTCTTTATATATATGTCTACATATATCTATATCTGTATATTGCGGTTGTCTTGAAGGGATTTGGAGTGGTCCGTGCTGGCCGGAGCTAATCATTTTCATTTCGTCTGCCCCTGCGTACACATTACGCAAATGCACCAATTCAATTCATCATGGCTTAGGGCTAAGACTTTGAGTTGGGGTTTCCTAGGGTTTTCTTTTTTCAGTCAGGGCGGTGCCTCAGCCGAATGCGTCTTAAAATCAACTGGAAATTATAGCTTCAGCTTTCTCTGATGGTTAATGGAGGTTTCTGGGTAAATGTTTAACCAAGAGACTGGATTGGTAATTGAAACAGAAAACATTTTTAGAAATAATCAAGTAAGTTCTATCAGAATTTATATCTTAGCTTGTACCCCAGATATACTTCAATTATTTCTTATATACATAAGTAAATATCAAGCAAATTTATGTAATGAATATATATTATCAGTTCTCCTTTGTAGGTCATCGGCAAGTCATGTATGCCGTTGGGGGCCCCCCGGGGGCCATTGGGCATTCATTTGCCTTTCCCCATTCGCCATTCAATTTGCGCCTATATCTGTTTGGAGTGGCTTAGGCCAAAGTTAATTTGCAAGGCGGCATGTTTCATATCAGACGCCAAAATGCTTTCTTGATGACTCAACAACAACAACAACAACGAGTTGATTCCCATTGTGTCGGCCACTTGAGAGCAAAACATGTTCTTTTGGTTTATCTTGGCGCCACGATCGTCGGCAAAAAGGCCGCGGTATTTGCTCAAAAAATACAACAAAAAAAAGACGCTGAAAAAGGCCAAAAAAAACACAAAGGCGATAATTAAAGGCAAAACAAAGCGGCCGAGACTGAAAAATATATATATATATATTCAAAGATCACAGATCCCAGGCCCATCAAGTGGTCGACCTTTAATTAGAAAAGCCAAGTAACGAAAAATCAACATAGAGTAAGTATCTTAAAGATAGCAAGATTAAAGCCAGAACAAGTAAATGAAAGCTTTATAAAAACAGCAGAATAAAAATAGAAAAATACTGTTACAGCTTAAGCTAATATTTTATTAGTATTTATATTCATTATTTAAACTTGTGAAAAAACTTCATCAAAACAACTCCAAAGTCAAACTCTAAGAGCTGGCTTTTTTGCCTGGCAACATAATTTATTAGACAGATGATGTGCCCGGCAAGGAGCATTCGTTAAAGAAACGATATAAACCAAAGATAAAACTTCATAATTGCGTTTGTGTGGCCAAGCAGAAAACTCGGGGAAAATGGCAGCTGGAATAAAACCGAAAAAAAAAAAACAAAAAGTTGGCCAAGAGAGTACTCGGGGTCCGGGGCCGTGGTTGGGTAGTTGCTGGCCAGATATCTCGTATCTGGCATGTAAGTGTTAATGAAGTTAAGTGTTTTTGACGCGAACGACCAACCGACTGGCAATAACAAAAGCAACAAGCAATTAATGAGAAGTCGCATACCATCCGAACTAAGCGAGTGAAGCGAGAAAACAAAAAAATGTTTGGAACTCTATGATAAAGATCAACAAATGCCAAAAAAATATATATAAACTGAGGAGCAGGGAAAAACTGTAAGCATCCGGCAATAGAAGGAATATTTATTGAAACAGTCCAGAGAGAAATGTTTTTAAGAGAGTCCAACACGTGTCTGTGGAATTTTTACATTAACTCAAGTCCAAGTTAATTTATGAGTGTTTTAAGCAAGTCAAGAATTTAATTAAAGAAAACGTAAATCAAAAGATAATTAATATTAATTAGAAATATATATAAGGCCCCAGCAGAGTACTAAATCAATGGAACTAATTATAATTCGAAAGATAACTTGGGAATATTTATAAATAATGTCTCAATTATTTGATTTTTTGTTAATTTGTATACCCTTTCAGGGTGTTTTATTTTAGTAAAGAGATTGTAAAACATGATGGAGTCATTTCCGACCATATAAATCAGTATCAACAGGCGAATCTTTCTGGTCAAAAAAAAGAAAAAAAATTTTAAATTTTAAAATTTTAAGAGTAATCAAAGCAAAAAAATAAATTTTAGAGTATGCAGGTATTACCGTAAAAAAACAACTTGGAACGCTTTCCGAATTGAAATTAATTCATTTTAGCTTAGTTATGAGCTTTTTAAATAATGATTGGTCAAAAAAATTGCCATATAAAAACAGCAATATCTGATATTTTCATATAGTTATAAATATCAAATTAACCTCCGAATAATTCCTTAAAATACTTTTTATACTTTATCTAATAATGTTAAAGTCATTATAGCATTTCTTTATTTTTAATTATTATTAAATCATGAATGCTTTCCCTTTTTCCTAAATCAATTCTCTTACCTTCAAGTGAAATACTCTAAATATTTTCGAGTGCACCAACTTAATCATCCGCCTGATCACAATTCGATC